GCCCCCAGCTGGGTCCCACCTGTGAGGTCTGTGCCCTCAGACCCCTGAGCAACAGTGAAGATCTTTGCATGAGTTCAGGCTGCTCTGGCAAGTCCTTACCCTTCGGTGGTCCCAGCCCTGCTGTGCAGCCTTGGGGCCTCGAGGGGCAGCCCCAGCCAAGCAGGGAATAAGTCACACATGTGACGGTCATCCCAGGCTCCTGTGGTGTCAGGATGCTTCTGTAGTACAGAGGCCTTTGCCTGCTTAGTCAGACGTGACTGCCGCCACTTTTGCTTTGGTTTGGGGTGAAACGCTCAATTCCTAACATCCTGAATGTAGCAAAATTATGTCCCTGAGGCAGTTTGGTCCTTGAGTTGCAAGCAACAGAAACCAGCTCAGACCTTTAAAAACAATGCATGGTTCTGTAGGGTGTCCAGGAAAGCCAGGAAGTGAGACTCAGAACTTCTCCAAGGCAGCTTGTGTGGCCTGATCAAACTCTTGGCCCCCTCGGTCGCTCTGCGCAGGGGGCACCTCCCATTCGGCTGACAGCAGCCCCGGCAGCCTGTGTCACCTGGGAAGCAGCCGCTCCCAAGAAGAAATCTCGTGGTGGTGTGCAAATAAAATGGCATCGAGGCCGGGTGGCCAGAAAGCTGCCAGTGTTACCGATGTTCCCCTTGGGGACCCTCCCTTTCTCCCTTGGAATCTGTGAGGCCTTTGCACTTGGCATTCCCTGGACAGCTGGCCATTCGTGACAAAACTTCACGTCAGCCTGGTGTCATCTTTGTTTTCCACTGAGTATCAAAATTTCACAGTTTCTGTGCATCTGCAGCTCTGAGCCATAGCAGGCCCAGGGGCAGGTGTCAGGGCTGGCCTCGAGCTGGGGCACTGCGTCCCTGGTGGTGGGTGCATCCCTGCTTATGCAGAGGCAGGCCTGACACCAGCAAGTAACTGACACCAGGGGAGCTGGCCCAGCTTTTTGCCCTGCAAAGTTCACACTGGACAGTGATGCACTGATATATTTTCCATGACGTGTCCAATCGCAGCTAGAATTATTCTGTAATGGAGAAGGTGAGTGAGCGCATTGGTGGGAAGGGAGACTGTAGAAAAGGATCAGTCATTTTGGCTGGAAGGCTACCAGGACCCTCCGATCCTCCTCAAGAGGTGGTCCTTGGGCTTTGCTGGGTCCCTGGCCCTGCGTGAGGTGGCTGTCATTGTTCCCCTGTTCCTCGATGTGGTGTGTGTGGTCCACTTCAGCTCCGCCTCCCTGACTGAAATGGGAATGAGAGACATTGTGGGGTTCTTGTCAGTCTAGGGGTTTGCTTAGTGTCCAGTAATTGGTAGCCTAGCTTATTGTTATGAACCCTGGTTTTTAGCAAATTCTCATTAAACATTGTGCCTTGCTTTCTTCCCCAAATTCCCCTGCCTGTAGAGGAAATAGGAAATAGGGGACTCCTTCAGGCGTGGGGACAGCCCCTGTGCTGGTACTGCGTTTCCCATAGTCCCTTAGAGGGTCATGTGGCATCTTAGTGTATGTGGGTGGATCTAAATCCATAGCATGTCAATTGTATTCTCATATACTAAAAGTTGTTCAAATTGTCAGAAGCACGAAAGATGTGTGAGTTAACATGAGAGAGGAAGAAAAGTCTGTCTGTGACTTGATCTCCCCCGACCGTTCCCTGGGGTCTTGTGGGGACCTCCACCCCGGACTCCAGCAGGACTGGAGACACCGCAGGCTTTGAGCAGGGTGGCTTCAGTAAATTCCTGGTGTGCAGGTGGGCTGTCCCTTCTGGGGCTGAGGGGTCGTCGATAACGTGGTCCTGTTCTTGATAGAAGCAGTTCTTGCCAGTGGCCCAGTTAAACTCTGTCATCCTCAGTACTGGGGGTCTCACGTGGACCCCTTAAAGAACCTGGCTGTCTTCCCACACTGGGCTGCTGTGGGCCCAGTCTCTCGCGCAGGACACCTTGGAATCTAACCCACGCCCACCGCCCACCCAGTTGTCCTCACTCAGCTGACCCCCGTGGGCATCCTTCTCCTGCACAGCCCCGTGGGTGGGCACCGCCTGCCTGCTGTAAAGGCCTTGCAGCCAGCATCACAGCCTGGCGACTCGGCGGGAGCCTATGGTTCTCACGGACCAGCCTCAGCTGGGTTCTGCATGCCCGGCCTGAACAAGGGCAAAGGGCAGGTTTCACCCAAGACAAGGCTACCCTGACCAGGGAGAGAGGCGATCGCTAGGCAACCTGGAGTTTGTTTCCCAGGTAACAGGGTCCCGGCGCGGAAGCCGTGGATGGACACCCTGTGCTGGCTGCCCCTGGGATGCTCTAGGTGTCCGCCTTGTGCCCACAGTCATCTCCCTCTGGTTGCTTTCCAATTAACAACTTGGATTTCTTACCGTGATCATGAACTCTGCAAACACTGAATGATTACTCCTTCTGCTAGCATGAAGCCCCAGGGTGTCCCTCACCCTGGAGAGGGGCAGCCTGGGGCAAGTCAGCACATCTGCCCACATGCTCCAGGCCTGATGTGCCCGTGGAAGTCCCACCGTGGGCTTGGGAGGGGGAAGACTCCTAGGAGAGAGCGGGCCCCCTGGGGTTTGGCTGGCTCGCTGCTCTCTGGGCGGAGGAGGCGCTTCGGTTTGGCCACTCCGTGTCGGCACCGCAGCCTCACCTGTCAGCCGCTCCCTCTGACATGGGCCCCCCACTCTGGAAGGGGCTTCTTCCTTGTCGGTTACAGGTGGTACCTCAGAGATGGACAGAGAGGGATAGGACTCTGGGTGAAATTACTGCTTCCTCGCTTCCCTTTCTGCATCTTAATATGTATGGATTGGGGGCCAGGGAGGGTCTGCAGGGATCCCGTCTGAAGACGGCCCTCTTGGTCTTTGGGGAAGCCTCCTCCCCATTTGCACACATCCCCCTCGGCCTCTCATGGGACAGACTTCCCAGGTGGGCCAAGGGGAATGCTGGTGGGGGGCTGGCTGGCCCCCGAACAAATGGCCTGGTGCCCACTCCCCGCCTGCTGAGGATGTGGGGTGGGTGAGTGCCTGTCCCTGCATCAGCCGGGGCTCGGTGTCACAGATGCTCTGTTTTGGGGATTCAGGGCCTGGGGAGGCGGCAGGAGCTGGCTGCCCCTCGTGAGCTGGAAAGGCCTCAGCCTGGGGGGGGGTCACGGGGCTGCCCAGAGGTGGCCTGCGCGTGCCGTCTCCTGAGGCCAGGATGAAAGCCTTTGTTCTGCTCTGTGTTCAAAGAGATGACAGTCCCAGGGGCTGCAGCTGTGGTGGGGAGTGCTGTCAGGGCAGAGGCCACTGCAGGGCCACCCCACCACCACAGGCACCCCCTACCCCCACTGCATGCAATGCTGATGGGGACGGGGATGAGCCCCAGGCAGGGCGTTTCCCTTCTGGCTGCTTCTTGAAGTATGTGGCCACCCGAGGAATGAGCCTGTCACACACATCTGGGGCCCCAACCAGCCGCAACCACTGGCCATTTCTTGGCCGCCAAGAAAGGACCCCTTTAGGGAGGCTTCCGGCCAAGAGGCAGAGGCCAGGCAAATGACCGCATCCTGGGCAAGCAGCTCTTGCTTGAGTCTGCTGGGCCTGCGCCCCTCGCCTTGCAGTCACAGAAAGGCCAGCTGACCCCAGTATCACACACACACTCCTAGCAGGGGCCGCCGGAGCCCAAGTAAGCCCGGTGGCCCATTGTGGACACCATAGAAGGGGACAAGCAGATTCCATGTAGAGAAGAAAAAAAGGCCCCCTGGAGCAGCAGCCACTATGAGAGGTGGCCTGGCTCTCTGGAAGCGAAGGGCGCACGGAGAGCTCTCTTTGCTTGTGATCTCTGGCACCAAGGGCACCTGCTTTGGTGAGAAGGCGGTACTGCCGCGACCCAGCCGTCCGGGCACGTGACCCCTCAGTCCCTCCTGAGGCCCAGGGGTGGGTGGTCTGGAGGGGTGGCTACAAAATCAGAAACCTTCCAGTGAGCAGATCTGAAGGACCAGCTTTGCTGGGGGAAGTGCCGCCTCCAGGTCCCGCGGGAGGGGGTGCCTGTGCATCCGCCCAGTGTGCGCACGTCCCTGCGGAAGAGGACAGGCCTTCCTCCCCCTCGTTGGGGTCAGAGGCATCACCCCGGCTCTGTTGAGCAGCCTGCACACCGCCATGCTGTCTGGAGCAGCTGGAGAAGCTGCACTCGGGCAGCATTGAGGAGAACCAGGCCTGCCCTGTACGCCAAGCCATGGGGACAGCTGTCCTTCGTCTGGTCGGGTAGCACCCGGACACGTGACTGCTCGGACTGTCCTGGTACCTGAGCACTGCTCACTCCGTGCTCCTCTGAGAGGTTCTGTTGGCTCCCCCAAGGCCTGGCAAGCCCTCGCCCTCACACACGTCTCCCCGCCGCTGGGACTAGCCCGGGTGAGGGGCTCCGGGTGTGCCCAGGGCACCTGTTTCCACCAGGGGTTCCTCCAGGAAAGGCCGGGGCATGGCCTTCCCATGCATTTCACCCCCTCATGTTTGTTTGGAGGGACAGTGGTGCTGGGCAGCGGCAGAGGGGCCGCAAGGAGGCAGCTGCTCCAGCCTCAGGGCAGCCACGAGCCTCAGAGGTCTGTGGGCCTCGGTCATGGTCTGGAGGCAGGTGGGTGGCAGCAGCAGTTGTGGGCTTGAACAGATCCCTTGGCCAAGGTCCATGTACAGATGGAGTTCCCTCCACGGTGGTTCCTGTCGGCTGTGCCTGTGGAGGCCCAGGGCCCACCTGCACCCCCACCCCTGACAGGCCCAGCAGACACATCTGACCTGTGGTCAAATGGACTGCACTGTGGTACCTAGTAACCTTGTGGCCTTTGAGCCCAGGGCAGCCAGAAAAATAGGGAGTTCTGTGGGGACCCTTGGGTTCTGCAGTCCTGACAGGTGTAGATGGCGTCGGGTGGAGGCCTAACCAGGAACTGCCGAAGGTTTGGGGGGGACCTGGCCCTGCCTTGTCCTGCATGTATGGGACAGGCCTGGTCGCCCACCCAACGAGCCCTCCCTTCCCTGCAGGTATCCGCCCCCAGATCATGAACGGCCCCCTGCACCCCCGCCCTCTGGTGGCACTGCTCGACGGCAGAGACTGCACCGTGGAGATGCCCATCCTGAAGGACCTGGCCACCGTGGCCTTCTGTGATGCACAGTCCACTCAGGAGATCCACGAGAAGGTGGGAGGGGCCCCCCCACCCCCCGGCCTGGCTGGCCCCCCGGGGCTTGTGCTGTGCTTCCGCGCCTCCCTCGTTGCGCCCACAGGGCCCTCCCGGCTAGTGCCTCACCTCCACCCAGACCCCCCCTCCTTGTGCCCCTCCCCTCTTCCTGTCGTGTCACCCACAGGCCACACTCCTCCTGGGGGAGCTGTCACGCTAGACCACGTCCTTAGCCAGTCGCTCTCCCAAACCTGCGGGCTCAGGAGCGAGGGCCTCCAGCCTGTGCCCTGCCTGCCCGCCGCAGGTCCTGAACGAGGCTGTGGGGGCCATGATGTACCACACCATCACGCTCACCCGGGAGGATCTGGAGAAGTTCAAGGCCCTGCGAGTGATCGTGCGCATAGGCAGCGGCTATGACAACGTCGACATCAAGGCCGCCGGCGAGCTCGGTGAGTTCCTCCGCCTCCAAGGCTACAGAGCGGCCCTCCTGGCTGTGGGAAGGTGGCTCGGGCGGACCTTGCTGGCCCGCCTACCAATACATAGGTAGGTGTGTGCCCGCTGGGTTCAGAGGCCCCGCCTTGGTGTCTGCACCGGCCAGGCTGGCCCATCTCATTCGGGAAAAGACCTGAAGCCAGACAAGCCTCAGGCCTTCCCTGCAGAGGGCACCCTGTGAGTGGGGCCACCCTGAAACACCTGTGCTGGGTGTACAGCTCAGGGCTCCTGGGGTGGGCAAGGCCCTGTTTCTGGGTCCCTCTCAGTCCTGGGCTGGAGCCATCTTTCCAAGGACTGCTGTCCACCCAGCAAGCTGCCAGTCTCTGCACCGGGGCAGGTGGACCACTGCCCAGCACCCTGTGTCCAGTCCTGCCTTTAGGGGCTTCCAGAAGAAGCAGACACGCAGAGGTGGGGCTGGCAGTTGCTTTCCTCCCCGCTGGCTGCAGACACCCTGAGGAAGCCATGGCAGTGTGGCCTTCCTTTCCCGGCACTGGTGGGGGCTGCGTGTGCACAGAGCACTTGCTGTCTTTGGGAGGGGCCGAGGGGTCCTTCGAGACAAGCGCCTGTGGTCAAGGATCTTGCTCTGTTACTGTAATTGCCAGCCCTGCCCCTGGGCATGTGAGGTGGCACAAGGTCGCTGAGGATGCCTCGGTGTCTAGGAACGCAGGCCTTTATAACCCCTCCACCCCAGCCTCATCCATGGGCCTGTGATCCATCCCCCTGCCCTGCCCACCGAGGCAGCCTCAGCTCCCATGGGCCCCAGTGTTTCGGGGACAGGCTGGGTGTGCCATGCGTGGCGCAGTGAGCTGGGTGTCACAGCTGAGAGTGACATAGGACCTGACAGCTGTGGCCGCAGCCTACAGGTGGCCGCCTGCTCTCTTTTAGCCAAGGAAACCAGAAAGCTCCAGATCCTCTCCCGAGGTCCTGGCTTGGGGTTCTGAGTGAGGATCTGGGGTTTGTCTTGCTGGTTAGTTCCCCCGCTGTGATTTGGGGCAGCACCAGATCCCTGAACAACAGGGTAGGAGCAGAGTGCCCGGCCGGCTGTGGTGGAGCCTGTCTAGTGCTGAGTCTGGCCTGATTCTCCATGACGGTGCCAGGCTCTCTGCAAAGGGATGTGTGGTCTGGGAGTGTGGGAACAGAAGGCTGGGGTTGCCACACAGGTGAACCCCAAAGAAGGCAGAGATACCCATTCCCTCGGATGCCATTCTTCCCCTCCCCGTGCAGGAGAGGAGCTGTGCGGCAGGCGGCCCAGAGGGTGGAGCTGGGTTTTCTGGACCCCCTGGCCAGGCTGCGCCATCCATCCCCACTCGGGGCTTATTTGGCCCTGGACCGGAGAAGATTCCAGACTCATGGGCCTGGGGAGGTGATGGCTTCCCGCATCTGCCCCAGGTGCCTGCTTCCTGCCTCTGTGTCCCTGAGCTCCTCTTTGTTGCAACAAAGAAACTTGGGAGGATGTGAGTCTTCAAAAGCATATCTAATATAAACGATAATTTTCTATTTTTCCCTGGCACCAACAAGAATATTTTTGTTTGAAAACAAGTGTTCTTTGTGCACTTGGTAGAGCTGAAATCCAAGCTTGAATGGACAGAGAAGTGGTGGTGTGCCCCCAGAGGCTCTCAGATGCATTCCCCTGCCCACACCTTCCTGTTTCCGCAGCATGACTGCCCCTTAGCACCTGGCACACTGCGGCCCTGCACTGTGGGAGATGTTACTGTCCAACGTCCCTGATGGGAACCAGCAGGTCTTTACAGGGAGTCGGGGAAGGGTCTTGGTGACGCCTTGTGTTCCCACTTGCAGAAGCTCACTGTGCAGACAGGGCTTCACGTCCCAACAACACAAGGCACCCAGCTTGCTCAGCGGTACGCCTGCTCTGGGGGCTGGAGGGCCGTAGACCCCGCAGCCCACAGGGGGCAGCTAGCGTGTGCAAGCTGGGAAATACAACAGGGCTGTCCGGGGCGGTATCTGCATTGGTCCTTGTCCCGTCTGATAAAGGAGCTGCCTGGAAAACATTGCTGGGCCTTTTGAAAGTGCAGTTTTCACATGTGGAATCGAGAAATGGAAAAGGGGCCTTTGTCCAGCTGTCCTTTGTCTCCAGGCGCACTTCAGATACCCCATCAGCAGACCTTCTGCAGTGACAGATGGCAGTGGCTGCGGGCGCGCCCCCCTAGGGGGTGGTCCCCGGAGGGCCGCTCCCTTTGCGGAGCGCACCAGAGCCCTGCCTGGAGCCTTCAGGGGCCCGGGGCACTGCACCTCTGGCCCTGAGATGATGGGCAAGAGGCTCTGGAAACGGTAACCCTTGACCTGCTGTCGGAGGTGGGGACAGTACCTGGAGCAGGTAGGGACCCCTCTGCCTGCAGTGTCTCCCTGAGAACCAGGAGGGACAAGCAGGGGAGAGGCTGCCAGAACCCCTTGAGTGCTCTCACGGTGGGTGCATTTCCAGCAAGCTCCTGTGTGCTGGTTTGCAGTCCACTCCAGTCCAGAAGGGATTATAGCCAAGCCAGCAGGCACCAGAGGAGAAACGGTGGCTCAGCTATTGGGCTCAGGCCCTTGGCTCTGTGGACGCTGGTGGTTTTGCTCTGTGCTGCTAGGAGCTGGTCACAGCATTTGGAGAATTCCCCCTGAAGGTGGGACACACCACTGACCTGGAGAATCGTCGAGAAAGTTCCACCTCAAGGTCCACCTTTCTGGAAGAAGGTGCCATTGCCCTCAGGGCAGGACCATCCCAGGCTTGGCCAGCAGCACCCCCACTCCTTGTGCAGCCCAGCCCTGGTCCTGGGCTCAGGCTCTCCAAGCCACCCCCGAGCCAGGAGGCTAAATTTCAGGGCTCCGCTGTGAAGGGTGAGAGGTACCCATCTCAGTCCTTCCTCCTCTGCTGGGTTGAGCTGCTTCATCTCTTGGGACCTGCACATTCTCACTTCAGCATCGTCCTGTCTGTCTCATCCCAGCTCCGCTGTTCACCTGCTGGGTCTTCCCACTGGGCTTCAGTCAAAACAAATCAAGTCCCTCAGAGGGATGAAAATTTTCCCAGCTGCCAAGAGAGTTTCTTAAGCCTACATGTAGCATCTGCCCCCTCGTATACAAAGTGCAATAATACGTGGCTTCTGGGCCAGCCCAGATTCCTTGTTTAGGCCACGTTGTGGGTGTTCTGCAGGATTACTGACCCCACGTCATGGGAAGTTTGTCAGCCTAGATCTTCATAAAGCACTTTGTTCCCTGGCAGGTGGCATGGCCAGTGGGGTGAGTGGAACAACGTGCTGTGGCTGCTTTCCCTCCAGCCTGTCTGTCCTGAGGGCCCTGAGGCCCCAGGCCTCTCTGGGCCTCTGGGCAGCCACGGAAAGGAAGTGCTGAGCACGGCTGGTCCCACTCCCACCCTGTGGAGCGCAGTGGCCCAGCCCTGTGTCCCGGGTGTCCTTCCTGGGGTCCCAGACCTGGGATTAAAAGGCAGCTGTTTGAACTGGGCCAGTGTGTTGCCCACATACCTCTCTCCCCACAGAAAGCTGCTTGCCTGGCAGACCCCAGCCTGGCTCCCAAGCCCCCCCAGCCCTGGCTGTGGGTGCCATCCTGGTGAGGCCCTCTGCCCTGTGCTGCATCCCAGCCTTCACCAGGGGAGCGGGCTGGTTCAAGGCCTGCTGGGCAGCAGGGAGGGGCTGCTCCCAGCCTGGCCCTTTGCATACCTGTACCCCTGCACCCCATCCCAAGTGTGGTGACCAAAACACCGTCGCACCCAGGAAGGTCAGCACCCGGCCCCCTGTGCAGGGGCACTGGTGGCCCCCTTACCTGTTATCCTGTGGAGCCTTAACCTCGCCACCCAGAAGACTTTTGATTCTGTTCTCCCTGCCAGACAGGGAGGGGTGGAGACTGGGGCTTAACTAACATGGAGCTGGATTCAGACCCCAGTTCTGCTCTGGCCCAGACCATATGCCCATGTTGGGGTGAAGGTGTTGGTTTTTGAGTCTTCTGTCTTGACTTTTTTAAAGATGAGTAGTAACACGTTCATGCTATCAGATTATCAAAATACCATTAAACAACAGGCTGGCGCCCAGCAGAGCCCCAGGGGGTCCTGGAGGTCATTGCGAGGAGTCTTTGGTCTTCTGGACCTTGTGGCCCGTGGGGACCAGCTCTGCACACCGGCTGCTTGCTGCTGCAGGCCCACCCTCGGAATGAGGGCGCTGGGGGCAGATCCCAGCTTCTCGGCACTGTATGCAGGTGGAGGTCGGGGCAGCTACCTCACCCCCACCCAGCTGCCCCCAACTGGTTTCCCAGAGACCCAGGGCCTGGAAGCACGGGGTGGGCTGCCGTGGGGTCAGCAGGGGCCTGGGTGGAAGCTGCTCAGACCCCCAGCTGGGCTGGTGGGGAGCCAAGGCCTGGATCTTGGTCCCTGATGGGGATGGAGGCCCCTGAGCGTCAGAGCCAGAGGGTCCCCTGGGGGACAAGCAGGCCTGGGAGGCCCTGACCTGCCCGGGGTCCCACATGCAGTCAGCAGCGGAACGGGCCGCCTCACCACCTCCCTCCCTCAGCTGGGAGGACAGGGGCCTTGCACGTCCCCACACGACTTGGGCTTCTCATCGCAGACCCTGTGCTCGTCCCTCCCAGGGATCGCTGTGTGCAACATCCCGTCTGCGGCAGTGGAAGAGACGGCGGATTCCACCATCTGTCACATCCTTAACCTGTACCGGCGGAACACGTGGCTGTACCAGGCGCTGCGGGAAGGCACGCGGGTGCAGAGTGTCGAGCAGATCCGGGAGGTGGCCTCGGGAGCAGCCCGCATCCGCGGGGAGACGCTGGGCCTCATCGGCTTCGGTAGGTGCGCTGTCCCTCCCACGGCCCACCTCTGGGAGCGGGGCTCTGCTGCACCAGAACCTACGAGACGGGTTCACCGTCAGCCCGAGGAGGGCCAGCCACCCGCGCTGAGCCTGGTGGGGTGCAGTTGGGGAACTTGCCCAGCGGTAAGGTCTGGGCAGCTTCTGCAAGAAGGGGCTGCAGGGCAAGTAGCGAGGAGGCAGCGTGGCATTCTCAGCTTGCAAACAATAGGAAGGGGCTGTGCCCGTCAGCTGCCCTGGGCAGGGGCCGGGTGGAAGTACACTGGAGACCAGGCAGGCTCGGGGGCTCCAAGAGGCTAGTGGCTGAGTGGAGAGCTGGGCAGTGGGCAAAGCCCAGGTGACAGACCAGAGTAGCAGCCACAAGTTCCTGAAGGGTTTTGAGCTAGACAGTGGCATGGTCAGGTCATCTGCTTGGAAAACTCACGTGGGAGTGAGGACAGGGGGTCTTCCTGGAGTTGGCTGTTCAGAGTGCGACGCAGCTGGCAGCCCTGGGAGGGCCCGGGGCAGGCCTCCAAGAGAAGGGGAGCCATGGTGGGCGGCGCCTGGCGCTGCAGCCGACCGTAGCACAGGCCCCCGTGTCGCATACAGGAGGGCACCTTGCTTGTTAGGGTGAATCGCAGCCCCACCACCCAGTGGCTCAGTGACCCTGAGAAAATGACTTGGGCTCTCTGCCTCAGTTTCCCAACATGTGAATTGGTAGTGGAGTGATATACAGAGGCTGCCGCTAGGGCTCGAAGGCATGAGAAGCAGGCAGATGGGGCGGTCGGTGGCTTCCAGAAGGCTCTCTGAGTTGTCTTGTACCCCTTAGCTTGGGTCTGTGTTCCCGATAACCCGAGGGTCAGGACCTCCGGGATGGCCCAGGGCCTCCTCACCCCGCAAGTCCCTGCTTAGGGGACCCAGGTGCCCGCTTGAACGAGGCAGGAGCTGGGTCTCTTCCAGGCACACATCTTCCCAGCGCCCAGGGTCTTACCCCTCAGCTGTCGGGTGGTCACACCAGGCAAGCTGTTCTTTCTGGCTCCTCACGGAGGAGCACGTCTTCCCTTTGACGCCCTTGCTGTTTCCTGCCTGGGCACCGAGGCGAGCGGCTCTAGATGGCTCCCACGCCACCACGCATCCTCAGCCCTCTGCAGGGGCCTCGGGTGGGTTCTGGCCTCGGGTGGGTTCTGGCCTCGCGGTGGCTCCTGACTCCAGCCATCAGAGCAGGTCCTTCTGGGGGCGTAGCTTGGGCTCTGCCCTTCGAGGCCTGTTCCCCACGCACTCCGAATGTGTTGTCCTCGGAACCTCTTCAGGTGTCTCCTTAGCCATCCGAAGTGTGGGCAGAGCCAAGGCAGGAGCAGCTCTGCCTGTACCCGCGGCTGCCACCGTGCGGCTCGGGGCTGAAGGCCGCCTCTGCCTGCAGCGCGGCCGAGCAGCACAGAACCTGGAGTGAGATGAGGGCTCCTCGCGCCCAGCTCACCACAGGGGAGGGACCGGGATGGGAGGGATTCTGAGGGCGACCCCAGCCTGCGCGGGCCGTGCGATGGGGCCCAAGGACAGCCCCCAGGCTGGAACGTGTACGGGAATCAGAAGGGAAAGCCAGCCAAAGGTCACAGTATATTTTTTTAAGGCAAAGCCATTTGGGTTCTCCTCCAAGGCTGCGTTTTGATTCTGAAGTCGGTAACAGAGTTAAATCATTAGGTTGTACGAATTTTACTCAGGAAAATCTCGTGGTTAACCTAGAAGCCAGTGAAAAAGGATTAAGGTTTGTGAGTTACCCAAAGCACAGCCAGCACGCTGGTGTTGAAATTTGGGCTTGGCACTCTCACGTTAGATGTTTTAGGACATGGGAGGAGGGTGGCTGAGGCCTGTGGAAAATGGGGACGGAAAGTGTTGCATGCTGGGCATAAGCACCGAGCAGCCATTGCTGGGAAGGGTCCTCTGGGCCACCGCTGCCCTGCCCCTTCACTGCATGTGTGGCTGTGGTCCCTGTTCACTGTGTCCAAGAGATGACAGTGAATGAAGAGATGGCACCGCTGCTGGCCCCACAGCTGTACTGCTTGCCTCCAGACCCTAGCGCTGTTATGCCGCGCCCAGTCAGGTCACAGTCTGCAGGAGGGGAGAAAGTCCACCGCCAAACTGCCCGCAGGTGGGCTTTGCCTGTGCGGGGAGGTATGTCTTCCCTGGTCCCTTCGCCCTCCCTGCGTATCTGAGCCATGGTTTTAGGAAGATGTATTCTGTGCTCTTCTGAATTCAAGCATCAAACCATTCTGTTTTCAAGCTGAAAACTGGGAAGCAGGAGGTGCTATCTATGGGGATCGGTGGGTTTGTGCAAATGACAGCCACTGGGAGTCAGGGAGACCTGCCTGTTAGGTGACATGGCTCCCTAACTGGCTGGGGGCCTGGGCTGCAGGCCGGAGAGAGCCATGAGGCAGGGGCCCAGCCTGCACTGAGGACTAGCCCGAGAGGTTCAGGTGCCCCGCTCGACCCACACAGTTCCCTACACCAATCTATTCTCAGGCTGGACCGAGCTGGTCAGTGTGAGCATTTCCCGCCTTCCCTGAGCAAGCCCAGCAGTGATTAGGCAGGAGAACTGCCCCTGTTAAGTCATTGAGGGCAGTGAATGAAGTTGAAGTTAAGCAGCCTGCTGTGTAAACAAAAGAACAAAAGGTGTAGCAGGAGAGAAACACCAAGGGCAGGGGCTGGGGGCAAGGGAGGGACACATGGAGCAGGCTGGAACCTTCTCTCCTTAGGTTTGTTTGAAAATGTCCCTAAAAGGAACTTCACAAGACAACAGCTGATGGCCAGTGCAGGCTGCAAGCACTGGGCCTCGCCCCCGAGGCTGGGGTTAGTGCTGGCCTTGTGCACCACCAGGCTTTGGGCGTATGTACGGTTCCTCTAGCAGCTGCCTCGTGGGTCCGCGCACCAGTGGGGACGACAAGCACAGGCTCCCGGAGCCAGAAACGACGGAGGCAGCACAGCTGGGGCCGGGAGCGCCAAGCACCGGCAGGGGCCGTGGACTTGCTCACTGGGACCTTCTCTCTCCACACAGGTCGCACGGGGCAGGCGGTTGCTGTTCGAGCCAAGGCCTTTGGATTCAGCATCGTATTTTATGACCCCTACTTGCAGGATGGGATAGAGCGATCCCTGGGCGTGCAGAGGGTCTACACCCTGCAGGACTTACTGTACCAGAGTGACTGTGTCTCCTTGCACTGTAATCTCAATGAACATAACCACCACCTCATCAATGACTTTACTATAAAACAGGTAATTTGAAATAGATGCCCTCAGATCCTGGAAACTTCTGTCAAATCAAGGGACACTGGTGGGAAATGGTCCAAGGACACACTGGTGAGCAGGGAAGAAAGTGCCCCAAGACACATCACTGAGGAGCCAGGCGAGGTCCCCAGGCTGCACTGAACAAGAAGGGACGAGAGCTGGCCCAGGGCCCCGCTCCATCCTTCCACCTTACGGCCTCCCAGGATCAGAGGAAAGTAACCCCTGGCTTCCAGCTGTCACCAGGACGCCTCGGTCCCTTCACCCAGGCTGCTGCACATGCAGTAAACAGCCAGACCAACAAAAGCCATCCACAACAGCATCGTCGACCTTGGTACAGGCACCCCCCCAACGGAGTGGCATCCGTTTAACTGGGTCTTTCCTCCCACAGATGAGGCAAGGAGCATTCCTAGTGAATGCAGCCCGCGGCGGACTGGTGGATGAGAAAGCCTTAGCCCAAGCTCTCAAGGAAGGCAGGATACGAGGGGCGGCCCTCGACGTGCACGAGTCGGAGCCTTTCAGGTTAGTCTGGTGGACCGCCGAGGTGTTGGTAGCCCCAGCTCCCAGGCTCATACCAGGCGCTCATGGGGCCTGCGGCTACACCTGACCCACACACTTGGAACTTGGGGCATTTTACCAAACAGATTATGGGTAGAAAACTGGGGACAGTTTCCAGCCTCCCTTCTCCTGTCCTGTCAGCTGTGCTATACTATCCCTGGGAAGGGGCACAGACCACGAAGGGTACTCAGAGCTTGGAGAGGCAGAAAAATGATGGGTGGCTGGTCTGCAGCCCTGCAGGCTTCATCCGGACCCTGAAATGTTTTTACCCTGCTTAGAGGAAGGCAGGCCAGCCCTCTACAGAATTGTCTTCTTTCTGAGTTCCTGATTATTCTCTGTAGTTTCAGTATGTTCTTAAATTCCCAGTCGGTAAGAAGCAAACTATAAAATGCCCGTTACCGTGGCCTGTGGAGTATCAGCCACACAGATGAGAGCTCGTTTCTGCTGAGTAGGATAGGAAGTGGGGTGCATTCAGCTTTTCTCTTACTACTTGTTTACATTTTTCTAGCTTTGCTCAGGGTCCCTTGAAAGATGCACCCAATCTCATTTGTACACCCCACACAGCCTGGTATAGTGAGCAAGCATCACTAGAAATGAGGGAGGCAGCTGCCACCGAGATCCGCCGGGCCATCACAGGTAAGCCCGCCCTCAGCCTCGCTCCTGCGGCGGTGGCCTGATGTGCTTAAGGGCAGTCTGAGCTCTGGAGTGTGCCACCTCCAATCCTGGCAATGACAAAAGCTTGCTGTGGGCAGGAATAGTTTTTAGGAGTCCAGGTGATAAAATCTTGAATGAGGTGGGGCCCTGTGCATGCAAAGCCCCAAACTGAGTTTCAGAGGAACCCCAATTCCCTTTTGTAAGTTACAGGCTGTGGAGGGCCCCCTAAGAGAGCAGAGGGGTGGCTCCTTTCTGTCCTGGCGGGGGCTGGTGTTGAAGTGCTTGGGCCTCACACCATTTCACATTTTGTGACAAAAGGCCTGCCCTCTTACTGCAGAGTAGAGGACTTCCATCAGTACATACCTGTAGGCTGTCTCCACTAAGTAGCATATTTAACTTTGTGGCCTTGAAAAGTACAGATGATTAATTTTAACTATCTTGTTCCAGGTCGCATCCCAGAAAGTTTAAGAAACTGTGTGAACAAGGAATTCTTTGTCACAACAGCTCCCTGGTCAGTGATCGATCAGCAAACAATTCATCCGGAGCTCAATGGCGCCACATACAGGTAAGGAGAGAAACAGCATCTGGCTGAGCCTGTGGGTGCTCCCCCAGGTAGGCCAAACCTGGGGACAATCTGAGCACCCTGTGGGGATTATGGATGCCACCCGCCTCAGTTCTTCCCTGCCTGATTTCCACGGAACCAACGTAACTTCTACGCCAGGGCCTAGAATTTGAATTCCAGTTTAAGAGGCAGGGCTAGGGTGCACTCCCCACGGGTCTGAGCACTGTGTGGGGTGCCCTTCTACCTGAAGCCACTTCACACCAGAGATTTTTAGGTCACAAAGCAGGGAAAAGATCTTCAAGAGAAAGGGCCTGTTAGTTTCCTAATCTTCTGTCCAGAGAAAGCATTCAGCTAAGGATGATCGTTTGGCTGGGGAGAGGGCCCTGCGCACACAGTTCCTCAGTGAGGCACCAAGGTTGATTCAGGGGGTGTCAGAGAGCTGATGGAAGGGAATCTGCACAGGCCCCTCGGAGGGGAGCAGACGTTTCAGTTGTGGTTTTCTGTGGGCCTCTTCCCCCAGCATTGCTGGGTCCCAGGGGAACGGACGCCCCTGCACAGACAGCAGCCTTTAATACCTGAAGAAAGGCTTCTTGTGTCCCTGCTAACCCATGGCTGCCACCTGGTGGCAGTACGAGCTGGGGCCCCCTGTGGGGCCCGTCCTGTGCACTGCAGGATGCACGTAGTAGTCCCGGCTTCTGCCAGCACCTCCCACCTCAGACCCCAATCATTGCCTAGTGTTCCCCGTTGCAAACACTGCACTAACTGTGGGGTAGGGGCTAAACAGCACTTGTGTGATATCACTGGTGTGTGAAGGCTCTGGCTCTTGAGGCGGCTGCACCGCTGCTTTGCTGCTTTGCTGGGCACATGGCTTTGTTTACATTTGGTTCTGTGGACAGCCCACTCATCTTTTTAGCCTTGTAAGTATTTCAAGTATCATCATTTGAGCCCATACCAGCCCACCCTTCAAAGGGGTGTCAGAATTACTCCTTTAAAAAAACTGAGGCTCCTTGCACCCTAGAATGCTCTGCTTGTGCCAGAGGGGCTATAGTTCCCAGGGATCCTGCCCGCCGAGAGTCCTCCTGAATCTTCCCTCAGGATAGCTGACCAGGCCATAGGGGTGGGGGTGGGGGGGCAGACTTTTCACAGGGAGAAGAGACACCACCACCCCCATTACTGCAAGTAAAGGGTTTAATAACTTTGAGAATGAAACCCAATCTAAAGTACCTGCCCCTTAAGAACGTTTAAATACACCAAGGCACAACTGTGCATAAGAACCCTGCGTTCTGTGGGTGACTGCACACAGCTCATGAGTCTGCAACCCAAGCTGACGGTGTTTAGGCACCAGGTACCCTCAGGAGGGCGGGCATCAAGCCCATCGCCAGCCCACCGTTTCCCTGCTGCTCTGTCCCTTTCACAACTCAGGCCACAGAGCGCACAGCTACCCCCTGGAAAGCCCCATTCAGTTTCAGAGTATGTCATGCTGCCTGCTGGGAAATCATTGAGTCTGCCAATGTAACTAATGAATGCTTCATAAAGCATCCAGAGTCTGCTATATAAATGTTCTCCAAATTCAGTATTGTGTCCACAGACATGATTAAATGTCAACATTTTAGATTTTGGGGGCAGGAAGGGTGACAAAGTATCCCAGAGACAAGACCAGAAGCAGGCAGAGCCAGCAGGCTGGCAACTTGCGGCTCTGGACTCACGCAGTCCTTTTTCTCTGTGCTCCTTAGGTACCCACCGGGCATCGTGGGCGTGGCTCCAGGCGGACTTCCTGCGGCCATGGAGGGGATCATCCCTGGAGGCATCCCTGTGACCCACAACCTCCCCACAGTGGCACACCCTTCCCAAGCTCCCTCTCCCAACCAGCCCACAAAACACGGGGACAATCGGGAGCACCCCAATGAGCAATAGCAGAGTGACAGTGACACACGGTAATCCTTCAGATAAACCTGGGACCAAGAGATAGTGAGAAATAGTTGAACTAAAAGGAAAGGAATGTGACAGTCTTTCTAACTGACTCTGGACATACGCGTCATTGACGTTGCAGTGTTAAAACTACAAAGAGCTAGAAACCAAGACGTGGGAAAACTGAAGATGCGGTCGGCTTACGGAAGCGCTGAAAGAGTGGGACGAGATTATTAGCGACCAACTTCTGTTATTGTGTGTTAAGTTTTTCATCTGTGCATCAAATCACAAAGAATAAATAGATCTTTTTCCTTTATCAACCCCTTGGGCACAGCAGGTCCTGAACACCTTACTCTAGAATGTTGCATCAAGAGTTCCAAACATCAAAATAAAAAAATATTAAGAGGAAATCCCCATCCTACGACTCTAGTCCCTTCGGTCCATGGGGGCTGGTTACCTCTTCTGCTAAGAGGAAGATTCCATTACTCCAAAATGGGGAGAAAACTGTTCGCCTGTTAGCCAACTGCACGCCTAGGACTGAAGACAGTACGGGCTCCGGTGCGGAGAAGCCTCCCCCGCCTGACTGCACACTGCGGGCAAGTTGGTTGTGGATTCAGTAATACCCTCTGATGATGCAAAAAAAGAAAAGAAAAAAGTATTAAGTTTCACAAGCTGTTTGTACTCAAATATATTTTCTCAGTTTCAGATCCTCAGCTATTTTATTGAGTGGAAAGTCTTGAACTGAAAGGTTCAAGAATAATAATGTTGCATTTCCTTATGTCTCAGGAAACACTTTTTATGGTAACTTGTCAGATTGTCTATGAACCCACTTTTTTAGACATTGATAAAGTCTTCTCTTCACGTGATATTTTATACAAGAACACTTCAGGCGTGTTATTAGATGTGACTGATTTTAACAAATCCTATTAGATTTGTATCGACTAGTTACACGTTATATTCATAGTCTTTTGTGAGTCATCGCCTTTTTGTTTAAAAGATGGCCTATTTTGAGCCTTTGTATAGGTACATTCCTGTTTTTGTGACAAAAAAAAAAACTTTTAAAACTGTCCCAAACAAAAATAATGGCTATCAGAAATGTTTTGTTTTAGTGTGAGTTACCGTTACTGTATTTGTTTATTGTAAAGGTGGACATTTAGCGTTCAGTGCAGTTTTCAATAAAAAGTAATAAAAATTTGTTAAGTTCTGAAATTCAAGTACATCTCACCAATGTAAAAGTTCTCTACTTGAGATGTTTGAAGACAAACTTCATTTTCAATTAGCCAGTTTCCAACTCTTGTTATTCCAGGGTTCAAAGATTAACAGTACTTTTCTACCTGCCTATGGTATAACCAGACTCAAGAATGCTAATTACCTCATGAAAATTTAATTGGAAAATCAACCTCAGCAAAGTTCATCATTGTCAAATCATGCCATCCTTAAGATGAAACAGTGGGTTAGAACTCAAATATTCAAGAAACAAAATTAGTCAAGTTTCAGAGTTTTGATTTTAATGTACCCAAAAGCAAAATTACCTGGCTTTAAGCATTAGTGCAAGGGAAGTGAATCTCTTTTAAAATATTTACAAAAAAATGTAAAACAGCCATTTCTGTATGCCCAGAACTTTAAACTGATATTTAATGGATCTTTTTAAATAGCATTAGACCCCTCTATACTCTTGGTATCTTCAAGTGTCAGCTGAGTCCAATTGCAGGTCCCAAACTCCCTTTGACCCCCTTCTTTACCCTTAAAAGACAGTAAGGTCAGGGCATCTCAAAGTCAACCCCCTCACCCATTTTAAGGGGTGGTCCCATCCCACCAACTCTGTGAAAAATTATATTATATTGGAATGACCTCATGTGGGTAGAGATGGAGCCACATGGTCACTGACCGATCAATCACTCCGGGGAAGAGAAGGGTAGTTAAACATCAGCTTCATAGCTACTGGTCAAGTCGGCCACCAATGAGTGACATCTGCAATGAAAATGAGGCCCCCAACTGCCCAGGAACAGCAGTGTTCCCTCGACACAGACTAAGTGCCTGGGGCAGTGAGCGCCTGAGGCAAAAACATGGCAGGTCCAAATCCTTGGTACACCTGGGTTTTGTTTCATTTAACAGAAAACTCAACAACACCGTGTTTTTCCCTAGAAAAAGAATAAAGACTTCTTACAGTCACAGTATTACTGTCCAGTGTCAACCAAAAGACACATTCTTTGAGAAAGGGCTGTGTACTCCAACAGTTATGGCTGTTAATAGTTCAAGAGCTTAACATAGCTGATTCACCCAAAATTTTGGCTTTTACCAGCCAGTCTGCTGTGAAAACCACTTAAAGCCCCATCCCTGTCTGCAGCCTAGGAAATGTAATCATCTATAATTCTTTCCCATAGGGAAGAACGCTGTACCTGTTAAACTAGATGTGCTCAGGGTCGCTGATCATAAATAAATAAATAAAGAGGCACCTAAGAGGAAGCGATACTCAGCAGACACAACACGCAGAGGTGAAATGCTGGGCCTGTCACTTTCCAGACAGACGGGACTGACTGCAATGGAGACCACAGCGACTAGATGCTTTTCCCAAACTTCCTCTTTGGCTTCTTCAATTGGGAGCATAGCTTTTGCTTTACTAGAACAGGATCTCTGCCCACTAAAGAAGTATTCCTATGTATGGATGGAGAAAAATGTGTAGAGAGGCTATGCTCAGCGGAATGGCAGCCTTCTAATTAGCGGTCACAAAGCAAACCAGGGGGACTATTTAAGAAAACATTGACCACTTGGAACAGGAATATTCACCATCATGTCAAAATTCATTTATATGGAATCAAGTTGCAAATATTTTTGTTTCAAGTTTTAGCAAGCAGCAAAGTGACCCTTTCACCCTGGGAACACCTGTCAGTGAGTATTCAGAGAGGGGAACCAAAGACACCTCTTGGGAAGTTTTCTCTCTTCAGTATTCTGGCATCAACTTAGAGGTTACACACATTTCAATACCATCTAAACCAAACTTAGAAGAAAACAAGAAGCAAATATTTAACGGTTTTCACAGCATTTTCATCAAAGGACGGGAAAGGGCTGTATGTGTGCGTGTGTCTTTTTCCAAATTCCTTGCCACATCAACAGTGTCTACAAAGTGCTTATCAGGATACTAGGTCTGTGTTCCTGAGATAGCTGAAATTTTTATCCAATATTAAATATGTACCTGAAGTGGTCAAATTATACTTCATGAAAGTTTTTCTACCTATGAGTATAGTTCTAACTTTAAATAAAGAATGGCCACAATTAACCAACATGCAAAACTTCTCAGACTACTCACTGAGAAATTCATTATACAATGCATTTACCACCTTACTGCATTTTAAAATCTTTATTCTGTACTGCACTGACTGCCAGTTAGCCTGAGCGAAGGCATGTCTTTCTAACATGATTTGCTTAAAGCAGAGCTGATAACGGACAGTAAGAACCCAGGGACCCCTGCGTAGCAGTCTGGGAATACATCACTTTGTCAACTGTGTCAAGGGAGCAATTTCACATGATCAGTTACAGTTACGAGGGGCCTGCTCCCCAAGCACTTCCCTAATGTACATCCAGGGAATAACACCCCTCAAGAGATTGCTGCCCAGAGTCTAATAGAAGAACCCTCATTTTAATTTAAGGATTCTCTTCCAAACAAATAAATACCTAAATCAGAAACTTAAGACAAAACCATAGAAACCAAAGCTCTTTCCACAACAAGGGAATGCTGTCTATATGAAGTGCAGTCAATAAAAAATTCTTTCTTTCCTTGCAGTTTGTTCCTTAAAGATTTGATTTTATTGGGCACAACAGAACTGAAGTATTAATAAAATAAAAGCTTGTTTTTATTTTTATGTTTTGCTATCGATAATTTGTACAAAACGTTTCCAAATTTCTAACAAGCTCTAGTGAAACTTGATGTAAGATGGGTCTTTTGCGTTGCAAGTAGAATGCTAGGTTCTACTTCAACATCTCAAAGGAACAAAACCATCTGCCATTTGCTTTTGGCGATGCCATGCTGGAAAAACTCAGTAATATGAAGATGCTGGTACACTTTTCCTATTACACAACTTAACACAACCACATGCGTTACATTTACAGACAGATTTACAATTTGAAAGGAAAAAGGTTCTGTCTTAATAAAATTAGGTTTTTACAGACTAGTCCACACAAAGCCCTCTGTGTCCTCACGCAAGCAGATGCATCCTGCTGATGTGGGCCGGGTGACCCCGAGCAGATCCCGCCAGATGTGGTTCGTTCCTGCCCTACACTCTGCTTGGAGCACCATGCTAACTTTGGGGTCACCACAGAGCCGATACCTTGCCCGCCTGCTCTTTGATTTTTTTTTCATTCATCATCATCATCTTCGTCTTCCTCTCCGTCGGACAGGGATGTACAAGGCCGGATCTGTCGGTAGCGGTCAAGCCATTTTTCTACCATCTGCGTGACCAGGGGGTGGTTTCGCCGCCGAGAGCTTTTCTGCATGGCAACCAGTACTCCACCCTCAGTCACGCAGCAATCCAGCCACTCCCTGAGCAGTTTTTCTTGCTGTTCCTCATTACCTAGCTGTTAGAGGAAGCAGAGAAACGGGGAAATAATACCACCACAGATTAGAAACCTGGTGGGAAAACTTTACAGAAACCTGCAGCTGTTAAGACTGCTAACAGAAAGACCAAAGAAACTTCTAGCCATTTTCAACCTCTCATCACCTTTACCATCAAAACCCAGTTTCTTACGAGTCAATATAGAAAAACGCAATTGCAAAATCTGCAAAAAAAAGCCTAAAGGGAACAATCTAGTAATTAAGTTAACTTGCTATGACAGCAAAACCCAATTGTTGCCTAATAAACTGATCCTGGCAAAGAAAAGCCTAGGAAAAGGCCAGCTTCACATACGTGACAAGTTTCCTCAGTCAGTTATGGGCAGGTTGAAGTTAGAAAAAATGGTCTGACCTTTTTTTCTTAATGTCATGATTACAAAAAGTTCTTTAAAAGTTTCTAGTATATTAAATAAAAGGCCAGTAGTTTTGTAAGAATACAGGTTTTCTGAGTGTGTTCTGCCCATCCTCACCACCTCCCCTGCCTGGCTGCACTCCCTTCTCCCCAGCCCCACGATGCTCTCCTACCTGGCGCTCCTGTCCCACCACTGCCCCGGTGTCTGGTCTCCAGTGAGCAGCCAGTGCCCCACTCTGGGGCAAACTGGCCAGTGGCTTGCCAGCTCACCCAGAGTCAAAGCCACAGCTGTAAAAGGCTGTCAAGGAACTCCACCCCACCCCTCAGCCCCTCCCCACCCAGTGCCCACCATGCACACTGGCCTGTGGTTCCCTGTACCTGGAACTCCCTTCCCCCAGACTCCTCTCTCAGGTCTTTGCTCATTTGTCACCTCCTCTGGTGGCTTCCCGTACTGCCCCATGGGAGTCACACATCCCGTGTGTCCCCTCAACCTCTCCCTTGCCCCCTCACCTCATCTCTGCTTTTTCTCCACACTCATAGCTACCTGAAGGCAGGGACTTTCACCTTCCCTTCACTGCTGTGCCCACACACATCCTACACAGCAGTTAAGAATTTCAAAGTCTGACCAGAATTTACAGGAAGTGTAAGTTCTATAAATTAAGAAATTTAGCTGGGAATGCAGGTAATACCGCACCTGAAAGGTACACCAGGTTGACTCTGGGACAGCATCACTGCTTTAAGGAGTTAAGAGGACGGACACACTTCCTACCTCCTGAGCAGAAAGAAAATGCACGTGGAGCAGCTTCCTCTCGCTGTCAACCAGAGGCAGAAACGTGATGGTGACATCGTCATCGGTGTTCAGGTTAGCACCAGCACCTCGGCTGCCATAGCCATCATTCTCCATGGCAACCAAAGCAGAGAAGTGGCCCCTTGTATAGCCCAGAGCAATCGGACTTTTCCAACAAAAACTCTGTTCCCACAGCAAAGGCAAATAAACACCTGGGAAGAGGAAAGAAAATCACAATGGGGTTTTCAGGACGTGGCTGCAAACTACATTATAGTAAATGAGAAGCTTCTGAAACAACTCCTGAATAAGCTTACCTTGAAACCGAGTATATCCTAAAGTTTCTCCCCGGAAACTTTTATAGTATTTTACTCCATAAACTATAATTGGTCGTCTAAGAATATGTGCAAGTACAAAAATGTGTGTCTGCTCCAAACTTGCTCCAGGCTGCACAGAACAAAATAAAAGAAAGCAATTTCTCTTTAAAGCATTTACCACACCACCCTACAAAACTGAAGAGTGCCACACAATGCTACCCTCCCAGTAATGTTTTGAAAAATAATACTGTCAGCCTAAAAAAGCTGACCAGATGCCGAGTCAGGCACTCTTTCCTCCGTGCCTTCAACATGGTCTGCACGCGCAGATCAAGGGACTTAGATCACGTGGCTTACTTTCTCATAGAGGCAACCCGCCTTGAAGCATTCTCACCTGACTAGCAAGAGAGAGTATAAATGCCCAGTCTTCTTGCCACTGTTCTTCTCTCAAGGAGAAATGTAAACCAAAGCTCTGAGAATACCACGACTCCCAGTCTTTCCAACGCGTGTAAAACCTAAAAGAGCAAGACAGTAAAAAATAAGCCTTCCATAAACAAAGCATTTAATGCCCCAATCATTTATTTATGTAGCCTTTAAGCAATTCATGTGAAGAGATTAATAATTTATTAATTTTACCTAGTTTGTAATTATTTTTCGAATTAAAAATTCCTCCACTCTGCTGGCAGACATTGTTTAACTTATCCTCAGACACAGTTTGGTTCACCACCCACCAAATTTTGAACAAAACTTTAAACACTAGTGATGAGGACAGTTAATTTCAACTGTCTACTACTGGTTTACAAATTCAAAACAAAACACTCAAAATCATTTGAGACATTGGATACAATCAAAGATACTACATTTCTCCATTAATGTACAGTATTCACTACTTGGTTGCTACATGAACAGCAGACTGGAAATAGCCCATGTGTTCATGAGAATATCAAAATCCATTCCTTGAGATTTCTTTCATTAATAAAATTATTTCTCTGATCATTTAAAAAAATCACCGCAACTACTTTCTTTATATTTGATAATGCACTAATATTTCAGCCTAATAAATTATGAAGACTGAACATCAAACTGGGCCACTGGTAGACTGAATTACTAAAAACAAAATCTATTTCTTTACATCAAGTATAAAATTAAACAAAACCAGGTATGATTATGCTCAGAGTTAGGATTCACTATCTTAACAAAACAAGCCAAGAAAGACCTCTCAAGTAAGAACAGATACTTAACGTGCTTATAACATCACGTTTCTCTTATTAGGAATTTTCTTTTTTGTACTTGATTTCTAGGCTAAAGAAGCAAAAGGTAAGAAAACATTCTGTTGCTGCTGTTGAGAAGTTCCAGCATAGAAAGTGAAATGTGTTAGTGTTACAAGTTTCTTTACAGAAAATTGAGGGCTCTGTAAAAAATAAATCATGGTATATTAGATTTCTAAAAGGACTAAAAAAGAATGTTTACAGTGGTTTGATTCTTGGTTTATTGGGGGAAAATATTTATACTCTAGGTAACCAAGAGCTTTTTATCAAGACTGTAAGTTTCAATGCCAAATGTTTTAAAAATAAATTATGGATATCCTCTTTCAAAACATCTAAAATATACAGAAAAATGTTTGAAGAGCACCTATGACAAAATACATCATTCTGAAAAGTGTAAGAAATATCATGAAACACTGAAAGATGAATAGTTAGAAATCTGTTGCTTAGTGTCTAGAATCATTTTATGAACGAAACATCAAAGTGCACCAGAAATTCAATGACGACTGCACTCAAAATCCCTCAAGAAGATGCAGAATAAGGGAATTTAAAAAAATAATACTTTAAAAATATTCAAATAATCATCCACCATACAAAGACCTAAATCCTGAGGCTACCCTGATCATTAAGAACAGACAGGCAAACCAAATCCAGGAGCACACGGCCAAGCGGGGCAGCAGTACAAGTTCGCTCCAACATCCAAACACCAATTCCATGTGTTCATGGATTACAAGGGTCAGTGCTGTCAACCTGGTAATACTCCCCAAATTAGTCTACAGATCCAAAGCAATCTCTTATCAAAATCTCAGAGCACTTTTTGTGTGGAAACTGATATGCTGGATCCTAACATTTACATGGAAATCTGAAGACTTGAGACTAGCAAAAAGAATCTTGAAAAAGAAGTACAGAGTTTGAAGACTTATTCTCCTGAATTTGAAACTCAACCACAAAGCTACAATCATCAAGACAGACTGATGCCGGCATAAGGACCAACATGCTGATGATCAACAGGAAACAACTGAGAAGACAGAAACAAACTTTTACTTTTTTGTTAGTTATGGTAAAAAAATAATTTTCAACAAAAGTGCTAAGGTAACTGGATGGGAAAAACCAGTCTTTCAATAAATGGTAATGGGGTAATTGGACATCCACTTGTAAAACAGATGATTTTAGATCTTTACTTCAAAACTTAAGTAGACATTAGCTCAAAATGGACCACAGAGCTTAAATGTAAAAGCTAGAACCGTAATTCTTAGACAAAAACATTAAGAGTAAAACTTAAAATCTTTTAAATTGAAATAAATGACTAAGCATGCCAGGGTTCTAATGGACAGAGCAGACAGTGTGCAGGAACGGGGGGGGGCAACATAAGCAGAGAGATGGGAACCTCAGAAAGAACCAGATGAAAGGCTGGCAATCAAAACCACTGTCACAGAAATGAAGGGTGCCTTTGACGGACTTCCTGGGAGACTGGGCATAGCTAAGTAAAGAACCTCCCAAAGATAGGTCAATAGAAACCTCCGAATCTAAAAAGCAAAGAGGACACAGATATATTAAAAACCAGAAGAGAAAGCAAAGAACCATGGGACAACTATCAACAGGCACGACACATAACCTAACAGAAATCGTGGAGGAAAAAGAAAGTAACAGAAGAAGTATTTGAAACAATGACTGAGAAGTTCCCCAAATTCAGACACTATACCACAGACCTAGAAAGCTCTGAGAACACCCAAGGAGGAAAATGCCAGGAAATTATACCTAGGGCACAATATACTCAAACTACAGAAAACTAAAGAAAAAACCCTGAAAGAAGCCAGAGTTAAAAACACCTCATCTACAGAGAAACAAAAACAAGAATTACACCCAATGCCTCCAAAGCCATGCAAGGAGGAAGATGGAGTGAAATACTTAGAAGTTGAGAGAAAAAAACCCAAGCACCTGTGAAATTATCCTTCAAAAATGAAGGAGAAATGAACATTTTCTGACACAAGCAAAAACTGAGGAAACTTGCTACCAATAGACCTCACAAGAAATGTTAAAAGTCTAGAAGGAAAATCAGAGAGACAAAATCCACATAAAGGAAGAGCAAAGAGGAAATGTGAAGGGAAAATAAAACCTTTTATTATTATTAATTGACCTAACAGTCTGTTCAAAATAATGATCACGGTGCATGTGATTAGGTACATTTAGGTGTACATCATATGTATACTTATGTATGTATGCTTCCACACAAAATAAAATAAATGACAGCAGAGGTAGACGCACGAGACGGCAGGGACGCAGGAGTAGTTTGCTATTATAAGGTACTCATAACAACCCATAAAGTGGCATAGTGATATCTGAAAGTGGACTTGGATTGACTATAAATATATTATTGCAAACTAGAGGGCAACCGCTAATAAAAGTGACATGCTTAGAATGAAGAGAAGATGGAATTGTGTAAAATAATTAAAAACACAAAAGACAGAGAAAGAATGAAAGACAAAAATAGGAACAAAGAACAAGGTTACCAAAGAGAAAACAGTTAACAAATCTGGTAGACATTACTCTAACTATATCTTAGTCATATGAACATCAATAATCTAAATATAACAATACTGACACCACCAAATGCTAGCAAGGATGTGGAGCCACAGGAACTCCGTCATTGCTGGTTAGAACCAAAATGGTATGCCCACTTAGGAAGAGTGTGGTAGTTTCTTATAAAACTAAAAATACCCTAGCCATATAATCCAGCAATTGTGCATGTTGGTATTTACCCAAAGAAGATGAAAACAAGTTCACACAAAAACCCACACATGGATATTGTTACAACAGCTTTATTCATCATCGCCAAAACTTGCAAGCAACCAAGATGTCCTTCAGTAGGGGAATGAATAAACTGTGGCCCATCCAGACAACTGAGTGTTTTTCAGCACTACAAGGAAATGAGCTATTAAGGCACGAAAAAACATGGATGAACCTTAAATATGTATTACTACAAGTGAAAGAAGCCAAGCTGAACTGGCCACATACTGTGTGATTCCAACTACATGACATTCTGGAGAAGGCAAAACTATGGAGGTGGTAGAAAGATCAGTGGTTGCAAAGGTTGAGGACGAGGAAAGGATGAACTGACAGAGCACAGAGGAGTTTTAAGGCAGTGGAGATAACTCTCTCTAATACTATAATGCTAATACTCTGTATGGTGCTACAACGACTGATATTTATTATACATTAGTCCAAAATCACAGTACATACAACACTAAAATAAGCCCTCCAGTAAACCATGGACTCTGCCTGATAATGATGAGTCAATACAGACTCATCAATTATAGGTAACAAATGTACTGCTCTGGTGGGGAGTGTTCATAATGAAGGGTCATGCACGTGTGGGGGCAGGGAGTAGATGGCATATACCTGTATCTGCCTCTCATTTTGCTATAAACTAAATCACTCTAAAAAAATAGTCTTTAAGAATTATATATTCAGACAGAATACTAAGCTACAGAGAGCTCCACCACAGAGTAACAGTAACAATGTTTCTAGAAGACCTGCACTGATTTTTTCCCCTACAACATTAATTACTTCCACCTACCTCTCGAGAAAATGGACTGACATGTCACTTAAAGGCCAGTCAATGTCAGTCTTGAAGAATGGGCAGCTGAACTCACAGGCATCCAACAGGACACCACAGCTACCACCACAAACAGTCTATCTTGAAGTAAGAGGGGGATGAGTTTAAATAAAATGCCTTTCTCAGTTCTCACTTAGATATTTAATGACTTAAGAAAATGTCTCATCCCAATTGATCTGGATTTTGTGCAAAGGGCTCCTCAGCAAAAAACTGATAGGAAAAGAGACCACACAAGGACATGCCGGCTGCCCCTCTCCGGGCCTCGGACAGCGCCAAGGCTCTCAGTCCCCTTCCTTCTATCTTTTAATAGTCACATGCCTATAACAACTCCACAGAGCCAACAATTTAGTGGTTATTCATTAAGGTTGACATATTGACCTGTGTCACTGATGTCCTGAGTCGATGGCAATGACACTTCCTGTCCCCTCTTGGTGATCTGCATCCCCCACGACACTGCAGCAAGCCTGCAGAACGGAGGGACACTGCGCGGCCCCGCTGCCCTCACGGTGAACACCAAGTGAAGAACCGTGACGACAGGGACTGGGGGAGGGGCGCCAAGGCACACTTCCGTCTGGGAAGCCTGTCTGTGTGCCAGCTCGAGGCCTCACTTCTTTTAGAGTCAAGGCCTCTTCGCTGCCAGATCTGCTACAATACTTGCCAATGGCTGTACCCTCACACCCTACACATTCCTTCTCGCTCTTAACAGCCACGCCCCCATCCAGCCCATTTATCACCTGGGATGATGGTACTCTCTCTCTACTTTTATGCTTGACTTTCACAATCACAAATGACCAAACCACCTCAGAATTCCAGTCTCAATACAATGTTAGTTAGTGGCAGCTCCAATCCAGAAGATCACCCACTGCCAGCTGTGAGAAACAGAATAGGTCCCCAAATTATTACTAGCCACCAAAGTTTTAAAAAAAAAAAAGCCCTCGCAATTAGAAACAAAGTATCACCTGCTTAAGTTCACAGACATCTTCCAGCCTTACAAAAGGTCAGGGTATTACCACCAGGGAAAAGGCTCCAGAGCTGCCCTTTTTTTCCTTTGTTTTTAAATTGAGGTATAACTGACATAACCAGGACTGCCTTTGTAATGCGCCTGCAAGCTGGTAGGTTTACCATGGTCCAGATCGGGCTTTCAGGCTGAAGAACTAGACCTCATCCACACCCAGAGAACAGATCGATCTTTCTGGGGCAGAGTCACATTAACTAATAACAAGGCAGACCTGTAAAAAGCACAATGCCCAGAAACCACTGTCATAAGAACCACACCACTCCCATCCTCTCTCTCAGTGTAGGCAGGCTCATATAGGCCGCAAAAACTTCACTAGGATGTTGCCTGGTGAGCACACAATCCCATCAAGAGGGTTGGGTGGACTGAGCATTTAATGGCATCAGGCTTACCAGCCTGATGATGCCGCCTCAAAAGGATGGTCTTGGGAGGTGGACAGAATGGGTGAAATAGGAGAAGGAAATTAAAAAGTACAAACTTCCAGCTATAAAGTAAATGAATGATAAGGATGAAAGTACAGCACTGGGAATATAGTCAGTAATACTGTAGCAACTCGTATGATGACAGATGGTAACTACATTTAACCACATAACAAGTTTAACTGTTGAACCACTATGTTATACACTGAAACTAATACATTGTATGTCAACTATACTTTAATTAAAATTTTTTTTACAAAAATAGGAATGGTCTTGTCCAAACTACCAGACCAATTCATAGTGATCCCTCCACCAAAAGGCACAAAGGCCTCTTCCTTGGACAAAGGCTGAGTGACTAAACCATCTCCTCTGGATCCAGGCACACAATTCATTTTATTGTGCTTTGCAGATACTGTGTTTAACAAATTAAAGGTTCATGGCAACCCTGCAACAATCAAGTTATTGACACCATTTTTCCAACAGTATTTGCTCACTTTGTGTCTCTGTGTCACATTTTGGTAATTCTTGTAATATTTCAACCCTTTTCACTATTACACTTTTTATAGTGATCTGTGATCAGTTGACCAACATCTTTGATGTTACTATTATACCTGTTTTGGGGCACCCATGATCCACCCCATGTAAGACAGAAAACTTAATAAATGTTGTGTTCTGACAATTCCACCAACTAGCTGTTCCCCGCTCTCTCTCCCTCTTCTTGGGCTTCCCTAGAGGCAAGAGACCTGAGACACAACAATGAAAGAGGCCAATCAATAACCCTACAATGGCCTCTAAGTGTTCTAGTGAAAGGAAGACTGAATTTAATTTAAAGTCAGAAATAACTAAGCTTAGTAAGGGAGGCATGTTGAAAGCTGACACAGGGCAAAAGCAAGGACTATGGGGTCAGTCAGCCAAGTTATGGATGCAAAGGAAAAGTCCTTGAAGGAAATTATATTCAAAGTCTGTTGTTTAGCGTAGTCAGCTTCACGCATCAGCTTAGCCAGATCTTCTGGATGACTTGCCGCAACCTCTGCATGTTATGGAGATGGCNAATTGCAGGTCCCAAACTCCCTTTGACCCCCTTCTTTACCCTTAAAAGACAGTAAGGTCAGGGCATCTCAAAGTCAACCCCCTCACCCATTTTAAGGGGTGGTCCCATCCCACCAACTCTGTGAAAAATTATATTATATTGGAATGACCTCATGTGGGTAGAGATGGAGCCACATGGTCACTGACCGATCAATCACTCCGGGGAAGAGAAGGGTAGTTAAACATCAGCTTCATAGCTACTGGTCAAGTCGGCCACCAATGAGTGACATCTGCAATGAAAATGAGGCCCCCAACTGCCCAGGAACAGCAGTGTTCCCTCGACACAGACTAAGTGCCTGGGGCAGTGAGCGCCTGAGGCAAAAACATGGCAGGTCCAAATCCTTGGTACACCTGGGTTTTGTTTCATTTAACAGAAAACTCAACAACACCGTGTTTTTCCCTAGAAAAAGAATAAAGACTTCTTACAGTCACAGTATTACTGTCCAGTGTCAACCAAAAGACACATTCTTTGAGAAAGGGCTGTGTACTCCAACAGTTATGGCTGTTAATAGTTCAAGAGCTTAACATAGCTGATTCACCCAAAATTTTGGCTTTTACCAGCCAGTCTGCTGTGAAAACCACTTAAAGCCCCATCCCTGTCTGCAGCCTAGGAAATGTAATCATCTATAATTCTTTCCCATAGGGAAGAACGCTGTACCTGTTAAACTAGATGTGCTCAGGGTCGCTGATCATAAATAAATAAATAAAGAGGCACCTAAGAGGAAGCGATACTCAGCAGACACAACACGCAGAGGTGAAATGCTGGGCCTGTCACTTTCCAGACAGACGGGACTGACTGCAATGGAGACCACAGCGACTAGATGCTTTTCCCAAACTTCCTCTTTGGCTTCTTCAATTGGGAGCATAGCTTTTGCTTTACTAGAACAGGATCTCTGCCCACTAAAGAAGTATTCCTATGTATGGATGGAGAAAAATGTGTAGAGAGGCTATGCTCAGCGGAATGGCAGCCTTCTAATTAGCGGTCACAAAGCAAACCAGGGGGACTATTTAAGAAAACATTGACCACTTGGAACAGGAATATTCACCATCATGTCAAAATTCATTTATATGGAATCAAGTTGCAAATATTTTTGTTTCAAGTTTTAGCAAGCAGCAAAGTGACCCTTTCACCCTGGGAACACCTGTCAGTGAGTATTCAGAGAGGGGAACCAAAGACACCTCTTGGGAAGTTTTCTCTCTTCAGTATTCTGGCATCAACTTAGAGGTTACACACATTTCAATACCATCTAAACCAAACTTAGAAGAAAACAAGAAGCAAATATTTAACGGTTTTCACAGCATTTTCATCAAAGGACGGGAAAGGGCTGTATGTGTGCGTGTGTCTTTTTCCAAATTCCTTGCCACATCAACAGTGTCTACAAAGTGCTTATCAGGATACTAGGTCTGTGTTCCTGAGATAGCTGAAATTTTTATCCAATATTAAATATGTACCTGAAGTGGTCAAATTATACTTCATGAAAGTTTTTCTACCTATGAGTATAGTTCTAACTTTAAATAAAGAATGGCCACAATTAACCAACATGCAAAACTTCTCAGACTACTCACTGAGAAATTCATTATACAATGCATTTACCACCTTACTGCATTTTAAAATCTTTATTCTGTACTGCACTGACTGCCAGTTAGCCTGAGCGAAGGCATGTCTTTCTAACATGATTTGCTTAAAGCAGAGCTGATAACGGACAGTAAGAACCCAGGGACCCCTGCGTAGCAGTCTGGGAATACATCACTTTGTCAACTGTGTCAAGGGAGCAATTTCACATGATCAGTTACAGTTACGAGGGGCCTGCTCCCCAAGCACTTCCCTAATGTACATCCAGGGAATAACACCCCTCAAGAGATTGCTGCCCAGAGTCTAATAGAAGAACCCTCATTTTAATTTAAGGATTCTCTTCCAAACAAATAAATACCTAAATCAGAAACTTAAGACAAAACCATAGAAACCAAAGCTCTTTCCACAACAAGGGAATGCTGTCTATATGAAGTGCAGTCAATAAAAAATTCTTTCTTTCCTTGCAGTTTGTTCCTTAAAGATTTGATTTTATTGGGCACAACAGAACTGAAGTATTAATAAAATAAAAGCTTGTTTTTATTTTTATGTTTTGCTATCGATAATTTGTACAAAACGTTTCCAAATTTCTAACAAGCTCTAGTGAAACTTGATGTAAGATGGGTCTTTTGCGTTGCAAGTAGAATGCTAGGTTCTACTTCAACATCTCAAAGGAACAAAACCATCTGCCATTTGCTTTTGGCGATGCCATGCTGGAAAAACTCAGTAATATGAAGATGCTGGTACACTTTTCCTATTACACAACTTAACACAACCACATGCGTTACATTTACAGACAGATTTACAATTTGAAAGGAAAAAGGTTCTGTCTTAATAAAATTAGGTTTTTACAGACTAGTCCACACAAAGCCCTCTGTGTCCTCACGCAAGCAGATGCATCCTGCTGATGTGGGCCGGGTGACCCCGAGCAGATCCCGCCAGATGTGGTTCGTTCCTGCCCTACACTCTGCTTGGAGCACCATGCTAACTTTGGGGTCACCACAGAGCCGATACCTTGCCCGCCTGCTCTTTGATTTTTTTTTCATTCATCATCATCATCTTCGTCTTCCTCTCCGTCGGACAGGGATGTACAAGGCCGGATCTGTCGGTAGCGGTCAAGCCATTTTTCTACCATCTGCGTGACCAGGGGGTGGTTTCGCCGCCGAGAGCTTTTCTGCATGGCAACCAGTACTCCACCCTCAGTCACGCAGCAATCCAGCCACTCCCTGAGCAGTTTTTCTTGCTGTTCCTCATTACCTAGCTGTTAGAGGAAGCAGAGAAACGGGGAAATAATACCACCACAGATTAGAAACCTGGTGGGAAAACTTTACAGAAACCTGCAGCTGTTAAGACTGCTAACAGAAAGACCAAAGAAACTTCTAGCCATTTTCAACCTCTCATCACCTTTACCATCAAAACCCAGTTTCTTACGAGTCAATATAGAAAAACGCAATTGCAAAATCTGCAAAAAAAAGCCTAAAGGGAACAATCTAGTAATTAAGTTAACTTGCTATGACAGCAAAACCCAATTGTTGCCTAATAAACTGATCCTGGCAAAGAAAAGCCTAGGAAAAGGCCAGCTTCACATACGTGACAAGTTTCCTCAGTCAGTTATGGGCAGGTTGAAGTTAGAAAAAATGGTCTGACCTTTTTTTCTTAATGTCATGATTACAAAAAGTTCTTTAAAAGTTTCTAGTATATTAAATAAAAGGCCAGTAGTTTTGTAAGAATACAGGTTTTCTGAGTGTGTTCTGCCCATCCTCACCACCTCCCCTGCCTGGCTGCACTCCCTTCTCCCCAGCCCCACGATGCTCTCCTACCTGGCGCTCCTGTCCCACCACTGCCCCGGTGTCTGGTCTCCAGTGAGCAGCCAGTGCCCCACTCTGGGGCAAACTGGCCAGTGGCTTGCCAGCTCACCCAGAGTCAAAGCCACAGCTGTAAAAGGCTGTCAAGGAACTCCACCCCACCCCTCAGCCCCTCCCCACCCAGTGCCCACCATGCACACTGGCCTGTGGTTCCCTGTACCTGGAACTCCCTTCCCCCAGACTCCTCTCTCAGGTCTTTGCTCATTTGTCACCTCCTCTGGTGGCTTCCCGTACTGCCCCATGGGAGTCACACATCCCGTGTGTCCCCTCAACCTCTCCCTTGCCCCCTCACCTCATCTCTGCTTTTTCTCCACACTCATAGCTACCTGAAGGCAGGGACTTTCACCTTCCCTTCACTGCTGTGCCCACACACATCCTACACAGCAGTTAAGAATTTCAAAGTCTGACCAGAATTTACAGGAAGTGTAAGTTCTATAAATTAAGAAATTTAGCTGGGAATGCAGGTAATACCGCACCTGAAAGGTACACCAGGTTGACTCTGGGACAGCATCACTGCTTTAAGGAGTTAAGAGGACGGACACACTTCCTACCTCCTGAGCAGAAAGAAAATGCACGTGGAGCAGCTTCCTCTCGCTGTCAACCAGAGGCAGAAACGTGATGGTGACATCGTCATCGGTGTTCAGGTTAGCACCAGCACCTCGGCTGCCATAGCCATCATTCTCCATGGCAACCAAAGCAGAGAAGTGGCCCCTTGTATAGCCCAGAGCAATCGGACTTTTCCAACAAAAACTCTGTTCCCACAGCAAAGGCAAATAAACACCTGGGAAGAGGAAAGAAAATCACAATGGGGTTTTCAGGACGTGGCTGCAAACTACATTATAGTAAATGAGAAGCTTCTGAAACAACTCCTGAATAAGCTTACCTTGAAACCGAGTATATCCTAAAGTTTCTCCCCGGAAACTTTTATAGTATTTTACTCCATAAACTATAATTGGTCGTCTAAGAATATGTGCAAGTACAAAAATGTGTGTCTGCTCCAAACTTGCTCCAGGCTGCACAGAACAAAATAAAAGAAAGCAATTTCTCTTTAAAGCATTTACCACACCACCCTACAAAACTGAAGAGTGCCACACAATGCTACCCTCCCAGTAATGTTTTGAAAAATAATACTGTCAGCCTAAAAAAGCTGACCAGATGCCGAGTCAGGCACTCTTTCCTCCGTGCCTTCAACATGGTCTGCACGCGCAGATCAAGGGACTTAGATCACGTGGCTTACTTTCTCATAGAGGCAACCCGCCTTGAAGCATTCTCACCTGACTAGCAAGAGAGAGTATAAATGCCCAGTCTTCTTGCCACTGTTCTTCTCTCAAGGAGAAATGTAAACCAAAGCTCTGAGAATACCACGACTCCCAGTCTTTCCAACGCGTGTAAAACCTAAAAGAGCAAGACAGTAAAAAATAAGCCTTCCATAAACAAAGCATTTAATGCCCCAATCATTTATTTATGTAGCCTTTAAGCAATTCATGTGAAGAGATTAATAATTTATTAATTTTACCTAGTTTGTAATATATTTTTCGAATTAAAAATTCCTCCACTCTGCTGGCAGACATTGTTTAACTTATCCTCAGACACAGTTTGGTTCACCACCCACCAAATTTTGAACAAAACTTTAAACACTAGTGATGAGGACAGTTAATTTCAACTGTCTACTACTGGTTTACAAATTCAAAACAAAACACTCAAAATCATTTGAGACATTGGATACAATCAAAGATACTACATTTCTCCATTAATGTACAGTATTCACTACTTGGTTGCTACATGAACAGCAGACTGGAAATAGCCCATGTGTTCATGAGAATATCAAAATCCATTCCTTGAGATTTCTTTCATTAATAAAATTATTTCTCTGATCATTTAAAAAAATCACCGCAACTACTTTCTTTATATTTGATAATGCACTAATATTTCAGCCTAATAAATTATGAAGACTGAACATCAAACTGGGCCACTGGTAGACTGAATTACTAAAAACAAAATCTATTTCTTTACATCAAGTATAAAATTAAACAAAACCAGGTATGATTATGCTCAGAGTTAGGATTCACTATCTTAACAAAACAAGCCAAGAAAGACCTCTCAAGTAAGAACAGATACTTAACGTGCTTATAACATCACGTTTCTCTTATTAGGAATTTTCTTTTTTGTACTTGATTTCTAGGCTAAAGAAGCAAAAGGTAAGAAAACATTCTGTTGCTGCTGTTGAGAAGTTCCAGCATAGAAAGTGAAATGTGTTAGTGTTACAAGTTTCTTTACAGAAAATTGAGGGCTCTGTAAAAAATAAATCATGGTATATTAGATTTCTAAAAGGACTAAAAAAGAATGTTTACAGTGGTTTGATTCTTGGTTTATTGGGGGAAAATATTTATACTCTAGGTAACCAAGAGCTTTTTATCAAGACTGTAAGTTTCAATGCCAAATGTTTTAAAAATAAATTATGGATATCCTCTTTCAAAACATCTAAAATATACAGAAAAATGTTTGAAGAGCACCTATGACAAAATACATCATTCTGAAAAGTGTAAGAAATATCATGAAACACTGAAAGATGAATAGTTAGAAATCTGTTGCTTAGTGTCTAGAATCATTTTATGAACGAAACATCAAAGTGCACCAGAAATTCAATGACGACTGCACTCAAAATCCCTCAAGAAGATGCAGAATAAGGGAATTTAAAAAAATAATACTTTAAAAATATTCAAATAATCATCCACCATACAAAGACCTAAATCCTGAGGCTACCCTGATCATTAAGAACAGACAGGCAAACCAAATCCAGGAGCACACGGCCAAGCGGGGCAGCAGTACAAGTTCGCTCCAACATCCAAACACCAATTCCATGTGTTCATGGATTACAAGGGTCAGTGCTGTCAACCTGGTAATACTCCCCAAATTAGTCTACAGATCCAAAGCAATCTCTTATCAAAATCTCAGAGCACTTTTTGTGTGGAAACTGATATGCTGGATCCTAACATTTACATGGAAATCTGAAGACTTGAGACTAGCAAAAAGAATCTTGAAAAAGAAGTACAGAGTTTGAAGACTTATTCTCCTGAATTTGAAACTCAACCACAAAGCTACAATCATCAAGACAGACTGATGCCGGCATAAGGACCAACATGCTGATGATCAACAGGAAACAACTGAGAAGACAGAAACAAACTTTTACTTTTTTGTTAGTTATGGTAAAAAAATAATTTTCAACAAAAGTGCTAAGGTAACTGGATGGGAAAAACCAGTCTTTCAATAAATGGTAATGGGGTAATTGGACATCCACTTGTAAAACAGATGATTTTAGATCTTTACTTCAAAACTTAAGTAGACATTAGCTCAAAATGGACCACAGAGCTTAAATGTAAAAGCTAGAACCGTAATTCTTAGACAAAAACATTAAGAGTAAAACTTAAAATCTTTTAAATTGAAATAAATGACTAAGCATGCCAGGGTTCTAATGGACAGAGCAGACAGTGTGCAGGAACGGGGGGGGGCAACATAAGCAGAGAGATGGGAACCTCAGAAAGAACCAGATGAAAGGCTGGCAATCAAAACCACTGTCACAGAAATGAAGGGTGCCTTTGACGGACTTCCTGGGAGACTGGGCATAGCTAAGTAAAGAACCTCCCAAAGATAAGTCAATAGAAACCTCCGAATCTAAAAAGCAAAGAGGACACAGATATATTAAAAACCAGAAGAGAAAGCAAAGAACCATGGGACAACTATCAACAGGCACGACACATAACCTAACAGAAATCGTGGAGGAAAAAGAAAGTAACAGAAGAAGTATTTGAAACAATGACTGAGAAGTTCCCCAAATTCAGACACTATACCACAGACCCAGAAAGCTCTGAGAACACCCAAGGAGGAAAATGCCAGGAAATTATACCTAGGGCACAATATACTCAAACTACAGAAAACTAAAGAAAAAACCCTGAAAGAAGCCAGAGTTAAAAACACCTCATCTACAGAGAAACAAAAACAAGAATTACACCCAATGCCTCCAAAGCCATGCAAGGAGGAAGATGGAGTGAAATACTTAGAAGTTGAGAGAAAAAAACCCAAGCACCTGTGAAATTATCCTTCAAAAATGAAGGAGAAATGAACATTTTCTGACACAAGCAAAAACTGAGGAAACTTGCTACCAATAGACCTCACAAGAAATGTTAAAAGTCTAGAAGGAAAATCAGAGACAAAATCCACATAAAGGAAGAGCAAAGAGGAAATGTGAAGGGAAAATAAAACCTTTTATTATTATTAATTGACCTAACAGTCTGTTCAAAATAATGATCACAGTGCATGTGATTAGGTACATTTAGGTGTACATCATATGTATACTTATGTATGTATGCTTCCACACAAAATAAAATAAATGACAGCAGAGGTAGACGCACGAGACGGCAGGGACGCAGGAGTAGTTTGCTATTATAAGGTACTCATAACAACCCATAAAGTGGCATAGTGATATCTGAAAGTGGACTTGGATTAACTATAAATATATTATTGCAAACTAGAGGGCAACCACTAATAACAGTGACATGCTTAGAATGAAGAGAAGATGGAATTGTGTAAAATAATTAAAAACACAAAAGACAGAGAAAGAATGAAAGACAAAAATAGGAACAAAGAACAAGGTTACCAAAGAGAAAACAGTTAACAAATCTGGTAGACATTACTCTAACTATATCTTAGTCATATGAACATCAATAATCTAAATATAACAATACTGACACCACCAAATGCTAGCAAGGATGTGGAGCCACAGGAACTCAGTCATTGCTGGTTAGAACCAAAATGGTATGCCCACTTAGGAAGAGTGTGGTAGTTTCTTATAAAACTAAAAATACCCTAGCCATATAATCCAGCAATTGTGCATGTTGGTATTTACCCAAAGAAGATGAAAACAAGTTCACACAAAAACCCACACATGGATATTGTTACAACAGCTTTATTCATCATCGCCAAAACTTGCAAGCAACCAAGATGTCCTTCAGTAGGGGAATGAATAAACTGTGGCCCATCCAGACAACTGAGTGTTTTTCAGCACTACAAGGAAATGAGCTATTAAGGCACGAAAAAACATGGATGAACCTTAAATATGTATTACTACAAGTGAAAGAAGCCAAGCTGAATTGGCCACATACTGTGTGATTCCAACTACATGACATTCTGGAGAAGGCAAAACTATGGAGGTGGTAGAAAGATCAGTGGTTGCAAAGGTTGAGGACGAGGAAAGGATGAACTGACAGAGCACAGAGGAGTTTTAAGGCAGTGGAGATAACTCTCTCTAATACTATAATGCTAATACTCTGTATGGTGCTACAACGACTGATATTTATTATACATTAGTCCAAAATCACAGTACATACAACACTAAAATAAGCCCTCCAGTAAACCATGGACTCTGCCTGATAATGATGAGTCAATACAGACTCATCAATTATAGGTAACAAATGTACTGCTCTGGTGGGGAGTGTTCATAATGAAGGGTCATGCACGTGTGGGGGCAGGGAGTAGATGGCATATACCTGTATCTGCCTCTCATTTTGCTATAAACTAAATCACTCTAAAAAAATAGTCTTTAAGAATTATATATTCAGACAGAATACTAAGCTACAGAGAGCTCCACCACAGAGTAACAGTAACAATGTTTCTAGAAGACCTGCACTGATTTTTTCCCCTACAACATTAATTACTTCCACCTACCTCTCGAGAAAATGGACTGACATGTCACTTAAAGGCCAGTCAATGTCAGTCTTGAAGAATGGGCAGCTGAACTCACAGGCATCCAACAGGACACCACAGCTACCACCACAAACAGTCTATCTTGAAGTAAGAGGGGGATGAGTTTAAATAAAATGCCTTTCTCAGTTCTCACTTAGATATTTAATGACTTAAGAAAATGTCTCATCCCAATTGATCTGGATTTTGTGCAAAGGGCTCCTCAGCAAAAAACTGATGGGAAAAGAGACCACACAAGGACATGCCGGCTGCCCCTCTCCGGGCCTCGGACAGCGCCAAGGCTCTCAGTCCCCTTCCTTCTATCTTTTAATAGTCACATGCCTATAACAACTCCACAGAGCCAACAATTTAGTGGTTATTCATTAAGGTTGACATATTGACCTGTGTCACTGATGTCCTGAGTCGATGGCAATGACACTTCCTGTCCCCTCTTGGTGATCTGCATCCCCCACGACACTGCAGCAAGCCTGCAGAACGGAGGGACACTGCGCGGCCCCGCTGCCCTCACGGTGAACACCAAGTGAAGAACCGTGACGACAGGGACTGGGGGAGGGGCGCCAAGGCACACTTCCGTCTGGGAAGCCTGTCTGTGTGCCAGCTCGAGGCCTCACTTCTTTTAGAGTCAAGGCCTCTTCGCT